GAGAACCCGCAGGAAGTTCTAGGCCTTTTTTATTCGCCAAAATAGTATCAATGATGAAGAATAAATTCCAAAGTTTTTACGAAATTCCAAAGATAAACGAAGATTACCAGAATTGCGTAAGTGATATCAAAAACTTTATTTTTTGGCCCAGATAAAAACCCAGCACCACGAAAAAGAACTCACTTGAAAATAGTCTCCCGCTGCAAGTGGCGATGGTCGTGCGGGCGCGTTGGCGTCGCAAGAGTCTGAAAAACAGTATTTAGATCTCGGAACAAATTCTTAAAAAGCTCATCTTCCAACTGCATACCCTTGGCTGCTCAATGGACGCCTTTTTATTGAAGGTCTCCACGAATTTCGAGAAAACACGCTCCATCCCGCAGCAACAAGCCACCATTTAGGGGGTGCGACAGGGGAGGGAGTCCGAATAATGTTAGGGAACGCCTTCTCGGGTACTATCGATAGAAAATTGAGAAGCCTAGTGGGGAAATAGAGGAGACATCGTGGTCGCTCGCTAAATTAGGAGGATCTGCGTACGCCATAAAAGATATTGAAAGTTAGAAAATTCACAGAAGGAAGGTATATTGCGCGAAAATTCCGAAACACCCATCGAAAAAGAAAAATGGAGCAGAAAGAAGAGTGAAAAACTAAAAGTTAATCGTAAGAAACTACGATCGATTTGTAGTCATCCCGTCGAATTTCAAAGCAAGCAAAAAATTAAAACAGGAGGCTCTGGGTGATTTCCCGGCGAGTGGAATTCGTTGGAATCAAAATTCTAAGATTTCCGCGAGCCGAAAATGTATAAAAAATGGGACCCTGGTTTTCTCAAATCCTCCGACGTAATTCGATCCGAAAAAAAAATACCTACAAAACTGGAGAGGAGAGATAGAGAGAGAGAGAGAGAGAGAGAGAGAGGGAGAGAGATTAGAATAATATTTTTACCAATTCTGAATCTAGCACATGGTCAGCCCCCGTTAGCGCAAGCATCACCGCCGCTAGTGCAACCCGGCTAGTGCGCTGAAACAATAAAGCTCAGATGGTGGTGCTGAGCGAGGATGGTTGATAGTCCGGGAGGCCGTAGGGGGATGTTGAGCGGGCGATGAATCAACCGCTTTCCCCCAAAACCGCCGAGTCGCCACACTCTCGCCCGGCGGCGATTCATCCCCTAAATTTGGCGAGAAGAGCCGCCCATCTATAGTCGTCGGGGGCTAGAATATGGCCCTGGCAAGGTGAGAAGGAGGGTGATGTGGACGGAGGGCCATAGGCCAAAACAAACAATGCGCGCGCCTTATTCTGTTTATCTCTTAGCATCACGGATCGAGCAGCAAAAGGGGGGGGGGTTGGGTATGCACAACCCTGGTTCTTTGGCATTATCGGGGGTCCTACAAGGCCAAGACAAACCCGTCATAGTAATGCTATCGAGAATTTTTGTCATTTTAAATGTACTCCTAGCGGATTATCATCCTTGAAATGTTCGAAAATCTATATTTTTGTCTTTTTAATAGAAATTTATAGTATGCCCAGTCTGATACCCCATTGGTCGAAACCGGGTGGGCGCTGGTTCCAAAAAGGGGTCCGGGCGCTGGTCTAAGGGCTAGTATTAGCAACATTTTTTTTTCGGCGCTTTTGCGCCGTTTATTATATAAAAGTTTTTTTTACAGAAGTCCGCAGTTTCGTCTCTGATGTCCTACGTAGGTCAAAAACTTTTTTGAAGCCAACTGACTCGGAGCGAACCGATAAAAATAAATCGTCAAAGAAAAATTGCAGGCGACGATTAACGCGAAGGAAACTGAAAGAAGCCGAAGAAGAAGCTGAAGAAGTTTCTATGATAAAATGCATTCCTTTCTTATCCTCTCAAGATCATCCGTATGCGCTTACCTATCTATGACCTTTAAAGCTTCCTTGATGTGTATAGTACTGTAAAGTTGTAAAAACCCCGAATTTGATATCCAAAGACAAAAACCTCAAAGATAACTGAAACCATTACCGGTGATAATTTTGAAACCAGAATTTAGCCTTCCTAACGAAAAACTTATTTTTTGATCATATCACCCAAAAAATTGTTCCATCAAAAACTCAAATTTTGATTCCAATGTTCAAACTTGGCCTAATGGTAGATCAGGGCCTACTAATGTCCAGGAAAAAATATCAGAATTTTTGGACCGGTTTAAGACGGTTTTTCGGGACCAGCGCCAAATCGACCAATCAGCCGACCAATCAAGGTTTTTCCCGGTTTTGGTCCCCTGAAATATCAGCTAGATTGGTTTTAATTGGAATGTAGGTAGCCTAAAGGGTGGGCTACCGTATGCTGAAAAGAATATTTAGATTGCTTGCGTCTGCTTCGAGCCTGGGACCAGCGACTGTCACTTTTTTTGGATTTTGAAAATCGGCCAGATTCGGAGTTTTTCTCTTAACAGGGGGGAGTAATTTTTTAAAAATTTTTCCTTGATGCCGATGATAGAGTAGGATGTGCTCTTTCGAATGACGTATTGTACGTCCGGATCCGGCTCCTCTACGCGGAGCATGGGACCAGCGACACCATTGGTCGAGCCGATTTTGCCCCTTTTATATGGGATTTGGGGCCATTAGTAGGCTATCTCTGCCGAATCGGAAGCGATCGACTTCAAATGTTGACTGATGGTGAGGAACGTCATCAGCAAGCTGAAATAAATCTGGCGACTCGATTCCGTGCATTTGAAGACCACTTTGGGACCAGCGACGGATATCGCAGGGACAAAATCGGCTCGACCAATGGTGTCGCTGGTCCCATGCTCCGCGTAGAGGAGCCGATCCGGACGTACAATACGTCATTCGAAAGAGCACATCCTACTCTATCATCGGCATCAAGGAAAAATTTTTAAAAAATTACTCCCCCCTGTTAAGAGAAAAACTCCGAATCTGGCCGGATTTTCAAAATCCAAAAAAGGACAGTCGCTGGTCCCAGGCTCGAAGCAGACGCAAGCAATCTAAATATTCTTTTCAGCATACGGTAGCCCACCCTTTAGGCTACCTACATTCCAATTAAAACCAATCTAGCTGATATTTCAGGGACCAAAACCGGGAAAAACCTTGATTGGTCGGCTTGATTGGTCGATTTGGCGCTGGTCCCGAAAAACCGTCTTAAACCGGTCCAAAAATTCTGATATTTTTTCCTGGACATTAGTAGGCCCTGATCTACCATTAGGCCAAGTTTGAACATTGGAATCAAAATTTGAGTTTTTGATGGAACAATTTTTTGGGTGATATGATCAAAAATAGTTTTTCGTTAGGAAGGCTAAATTCTGGTTTCAAAATTATCACCGGTAATGGTTTCAGTTATCTTTGAGGTTTTTGTCTTTGGATATCAAATTCGGGGTTTTTACAACTTTACAGTACTATACACATCAAGGAAGCTTTAAAGGTCATAGATAGGTAAGCGCATACGGATGATCTTGAGAGGATAAGAAAGGAATGCATTTTAGAAACTTCATCAGCTTCTTCTTCGGCTTCTTTCAGTTTCCTTCGCGTTAATCGTCGCCTGCAATTTTTCTTTGACGATTTATTTTTATCGGTTCGCTCCGAGTCAGCTGGCTTCAAAAAAGTTTTTGACCTACGTAGGACATCAGAGACGGAAATCACAGCATACACAGATACCATCGATAATTTTCGACAACCGAAAAATCCTGCAAAATTATCCCAAAACCCAATTTTCTTTCAAAAAAATCGCGCCGCTCCGCGGCGCTGGTCTAAACCCAGTCTTATCCCTCCGGGCGCTGGTCCCAATGGTCGCTATCCCCTATGTTTCCCAGACTGAGTATGCCCCAAGCGCCACGAATCGGGCACCAAAAAAAGAGGTTGGGTATGCAGAATCCCATTTAGCACGCCGCGTGCATGCCACTTTATTCAAGGTCACCCCCACCCGCCTGGATTTGACTATTGGCATCCACGGATCGGCCAATCACAACGATCGAAAAGTGGCGCGAGCGCGAGGGCAAAATTGTACCGGCTCTCTGGGTGAGTAGAGCATAATTTGCATGAGCGAAAGCGGCGAGGAAGAGATGGCTTTTGGATCAGAGCGGATATGAAAAAAGTAACCCAAAAGATCATATCTAAAATCCGCTATCCCATGAGAATAAAATAGGACCAACTAGAACCCGTATCTCTAATCAAGCTGTGAATTGACCCCTAGGCAGCAGCGGTAGCTCGGGAAGCGCAGCAAGAATTAGGCCAAACTTCAGGAATCAACTCTGCTTATAGGAATCCGAACGTGTGAGTTGCGCCAACCCGGTGGGGAATTACATGGAAAGCCGGGGCCAGTGGCCGAATTTGAATAGTGGGCACGGCGACTGTTATAAAAAATATGGCTGGGAAAACGACATTTTTTTGGAAATTGGAAAGACGAAACTTGTTCAGAATTTCAAGTTCAATGGAATCAGACAGCGAAGATATAAGGATCCTATCGACAACCGGAAAAGGGAAAAAATTAAGGCTGCTAACAGTGACAAGTGGCCGAATTTGGATAATGGCCAGGGCAGACCTGGACGCTTATTAAAAAAAAATAGAGATTTGGAAAAAAGACAGGGTCAAGAAAATAGGCGACAGCTATTCAAAATAATTTTAAAAGTTAAATTAAAAAAACCCATGAACCCCAAGAAAATCAAGAAAACAGAAAAACCCTAAAACCGCCAATTAACCAGCAGCAACAAAGCGATTGCGTGTTTGCATTATGCGGTGAGTTTTGGGGGGCGTCGGGGTGGCAGGGAGTATGAGGGGCGAGTGGGTGGAAGGTCATGTGCGCGCCCTCAATGATCCGACCGAAACAACCGTTCGCATGTGGTGTACGGCGAGGTGAGAGAGCGAGGGAAAGCAAGAGGGGGCAGATAGCTCCAGGCGGTACCATTTCGAGGGTATGGATGGGGTAGTGGGGGAGGACGCCAATTCATCACGACACACTGCCTCTCCTCCCTCGCGTGGACAGAAGTGGGTCTCTTGTTTGAAAATGAGCTGACCGGAGGTGGAGATGACCATGGAAACGCCACACACCAGACGTAAAAAGGGTGCATGAAGATGCGTTTTCAGATAAGAAATCTTAAAGGGACAAGGACGGAAGGAGGTAGATTAGACCGCAACTAAAATTGACAATATCCAACCAGTTACGCTATGCAAAAATATATACGCCTCTTTCCTCTTAACAATCCGAAACAGCGGTATGCACCAAAAAAGGTTCGAAAATTAAATACAAAAGGTAAAAAAACAGCCCCCGAAAAAGCGAAAGGAGAACTGTCAATTCGGATTGGCACTAATCCAGCAAGATCCGACAGCCCGTAATCGAATGAGCGATCGGGAAAATGTGACAAGGGGCGTGCAAAAAAACATTCAACTAGCCAAGAAGACAAGGCTTTGAATAAAAGGCTGACTTTTTGTGCAAAAAGGTATAAACCGGCCCATTCAAAAGCGGGTCGAAAAATTAAGATTTCTAAGGTGTCTCAAAAACAGGTTCTAACAATCAGAAACCAGTGAAAACGCGATAAAACTACATTTTAAAGTAATAAACTAATTAATGAGCTGATTTTAAATTTTGCCTTGCTCCCCCGATAAGAAATAAGCACCACAAATTCTGCTATAGCCCTTGTTCCCGGATTTCTTATTGCCTTTAGGTAGGCTTCCGTACCGCATGGAATCTCAAGGAGGGCAGGAAATTTTCTACATCTGGCTGAAGGGCAGGCAGGCGACCCGGCGAAAAAGTGGCATTCCCGAGTGTAGGTGTGGCCGCCGTGGCCGGAGCCGTACGGAAAAAGAGTGATCTTACTGAAGGAGACACTAGGGGGAAACTGGAAACACAAAAACATCAAACGGCCCCCCGCCCCAAGCAGAAGCAATAAGGATGGGTGGGCGATGAGTTAATGGGGTCCGCGAGGTGCCTAACCAGTGCCTATGGCTCATTTTCCGTCCAGCCTTCATCAATAATCGAATAGGCAGAGGGGGAGATAAATGTGGGAAGAAGGCGGGTGGAAGTGGGCAGCGAAGGAAGGCGCTTGATGGCTGTACAGGGCGCTAAGCTGTAGCGATTTGCCGGATAAGCCGGCAGACATGGAAAATGGTGGATAAGCCAAAGAAAATGACGCGAAAAATAGTCTGGCAAAATCGAGATCGACAATACGTTCCAATCCAGATATAGCTATTATGCCAGAGCAAGCATTGCCAGTCTTTACGACAAAATTTAGCCAGATTAGGACGAAAAACTATTAAAATACTTACAATTCGGTAATTTGGTCGTAAATCGACGATTCTTGGAACACAAATGGAAATTTTTGGTATATCTTTCCAAAATATATAAATCTTTACGCGATTAATATTAGTGAAAACAATGTAGGAAAAATTTCCAGGACTTTTTGTTAGAAAAGTTCAGTCATAAGGAAAAAAAGTTTGTTACCCCCGAATTTCCGAAAGAAGCGTTAGAAAGTCTACGGATAAAGCGGGCACATTGAAACAGCCAAGGTATCTGCAGAGAAGATAAAAAAACCCTAAACCAACCTTTGATCCATGTGCCTCCAGTGTGGTGATCTGCCTGTGGTTGTTGATGTTGGCGACACTGCGGCGCTGGCTAAATAGAAAAGTTAGATGTCCCTCAAGTAAATTGGCGCACTTTAGATTGAAAGCCCGGACCAGGAGGTCAGGGACCGTGGTCTCGCGCTTATACTCTGACCGCCGGACCCTTCGGGGCTCTGGCTCGGATTCGGAATCGGAGACGGCGAATAGAGCCTCGCCGCATGATTTTGAAGGTGGAATGAGGGGGGCACGGGTGGTGCGCCGGGGTTTCGCTTTGGCCAGCATTACTCATCGGCTAGAATGGGAGGCATGGCGAAAGAATTCGGAAAACAGGTTAAAAGAGATAATGCGAAAAACAGTCTTTAGAAAAGCTTACAATTAGGCAACGATACAAGATCAGAAAAATCGAAAAATACCCCGACCCAATTCGGAAACCGGTATGATTCATCTCCTAAATGACGGCCCGGAGACCCCTCATTGGAAATGCACGGCCGAGCCCGGCAGAGCAGAGAAGAAGAGGCCGAGAGGAAGGGATCGAAAGGCAATTTGGGGAAGAGGTCGTGTCGGTTGTCTTTGCGGCGTATATATCGCTTCGGAGGGACAAAGGGCCCGGCATATGGACCATCGCGACATTATCCACCAGAGTGCTTGATCGCCGAAAAAGCCTGGGGCGCTTCAAACGGGGCGCAACGCACGACACCGGCTGGCGTAGTGTACTAGCACCATCGATTTGAAGGCATGGCAAATTGAAAAACAAGGTGCGGGAGGATTCTACAAGCCAAATTTGGTCAACAATTAGGAATACTGTATTACGCGAGTTTCCATTTTTTCAATAGCACGGAAGGTAGATTTTTTAGAGGGATTCTTATATTCTTTCGGTTGACCGATATATCGAAAATTGGGAGAAAATAGGCAGCTTCTATTTTTAAATAACCGCAGTAAAACGGGAGCTTATATTTGCGGAAAAACGACACCTAGAAACCCAAATCTAAATTTTTTCAAAATAATTTAGGAAAAAACAGAGCTGCAATAAAAGCCAGGTGACACTGTGCTAGCGAGCCACCAGCCCCACCCTCGAAACTACGCAATATCTCGGGGCTAGGCACCCGCAATGTGATTCCAATTTCAACTGGTGACCCGCCCAATTGCGAAGGGCCAAGGAAGGGTGGATGGTGGTGGCGCAACTGCGAGAAATCTGAGACGCGCCCCGGGGATCGTTGGGGCCCTCGTGAAACCGGGAGAAGAAACTTGGCTATCGATCATTTATTTACCTAGAATTTTGCTTTCAATTAAAAAGTGCTAAAAATCGAAATTTAGATCTTTACTAATTACAGCGCGGCAAAACCATTTCCTAATATAAAAACTTTACACATCCTACTATATATAAAAAAAATAGTGTTTTTGTGTGTGTGTGTGCCACTTTGCATCCACTTCCGGATTTCTGTCCGGAGGATATCTCAAGAAGGGACGGGTATTGGGCTACGTATGATACGTCATTAGGCGCGTAATGGTATAGGGATCACTGCACACATATCAGATTTTTAAAACTTAGCCATTTTCGCAATTAAATTTAGGTTTTTGTAAATACCTCTTTGTTAGGTTTATTAGCATAGACCGGAAGTGGGCGGCCGTCTATAAAAGAGGCCGAAGAGGTTGTTTATCATTTTTTTTTTTGTCTTCTGAATAGAGGACAATTATGCAAATGGAAAAACAGCATGTGGTCCGAGACGGGGCCAGGGTTGAAAAGTCGCGAAGCGGCTTTTCAACCCTGGTTCTATATTAAAACCACGAAAAGTATCGACACCTTGACCTTCAGAATTGGTCGCTTCACGTGAACTACGTAAATTTTGGAAAACTAAAATACGTGTTTGGTTCAAAATTTGAACTTCAAATATAAAAAAGCTAAAATTATGCAAATGCTAAAGACCATTAAACGAAGATTGAAATGCGAGCGGGCAAATACGCGTTCACACATGGGCCCAATTAGCCACATGCGGAATATGCAGATCCACCAAAGTGTCGCATGGGAAGGCTGTAGCAGAAATTGGGCCCATGACCCTGGCGGCCATTTAGCCCGGACATTGCTACCCCCAGAAACGAATGCCCCACGATCGCCCGGCGAAATCGATAGAAGCCCTGGACGAAAATTTGGGGGAAGAAACGACACTACCAAAACAACGTGCTCTCCTCTGCAACTGGGGGCCTCGCCCGTTGAATTGAGACCGGGGAGCCCGAACGAAACGAAACAAAAACGCTTCCGAGAAACGTCCCCCTGTCAATTTAGCGTAGCCGTTTGTTTGCAAAAGCAAGGGGTGAGGGAGCCACCACTCAAAACGGACGTGCAGTTTTTGGAGGGGGGGGGTCAGTGTGCGAAGGGTTTGGCCGTGGGGCGGCCGGCGCTGGTCCCAAAAATGGCCCTAGGCGCTGGTCCTAGGGTTAGTTAAATCGCGATTTTTCGGCGCCTACGGCGCCATGATGGCAAAAAAATATAGCGTTATCGATATATGTTATCTGCGAGGTAAGGAGTTCTCAATAACTATTTCTAAAAAATTCCACCATTTAAATCATAGTAACGATACGGCACCACGAAAAATCATGCACGAAAATTTCGGCAGAAGTCGGCAAAGGAGTAAAGTATGATCGGTCATGGTGGGTATGGATGTTGTCGAAAGTAATAGTCTCCCTACGCCAAATCCTCTACTATAATAGATCCTGGAGGAGGGCTCGGGTTGCCACACTATACTTTGGACTTTGCCCCTTGGGCCCCGCTCGGACAACCCTGCATACGGATAGAACACGGACCGGGAGATGGCAAGAGATCCCAAGAGGCTATACAAGCAGTAATGTTCAGTGGTAGTTTCTACAATCGTGTAATAGAATCCAATGCATTTCGGTATAAGGATACAAAAGGTATACACAAAGTTTATCGGCATGTAAACCATTAGAATACGAGCACACTCATCGATGGATGGAAAGGGCAAGGTAAAGTGCTGGTCTAACTCGCTGGTCTTAGGCAAAAGATGCTGGGCGTAAGGCAAAAGGTAGCTGGTCTTCTGCTAACGCAATACCCGCACAGACCTGGTCGTTAAACCCTAGAGAAATCCGTAAATCGTCTGTTCGGAATAATCACGAAAGCCGCCCGGCCCCCTCTCTCCGAGGGGGCCTCGCGCTACGGTAACGTACAGGTTTTAGCAAACCATCGAACGTTGCAGCATAATGCTCGCAACTTTCGACAGATGTGACAACGCTCGTTACGGGTGAACGGTTTGGACCAAGCTGGCAATTAGATGAGCATTACACATTTCCCCGATCAAGGTTTGGGTAAAATTTGGTCAAGATCGGCCAGTGGAATGCGGAGAAATAATTTTTTATCGGCCCCCCCATCCCGGTGCACGCTGGTGAATCCCTTGAAAATGCTCTAACTACCCCGTCCTTGGCGCTAGCGGTTTGAAATTTGTTGTCAGGCTAGGTCTAGGGTCTGCCCAACTACTGCCAAAAAGCCAAAAGCATGCTTCCAGTTTAAAACCCTTTTTCCGGACCAGCGCCGCTTCACCTCCGGAATCAGCTCATTTGGCCGCGCCCCCACTTCTGGTCCCCGTTGGTCCCCGAAAGGGCAATCAATCACCACCAAACTTGCTTGCCGAATAGCCTCTGGTACTGGCTATCATTTGACAAAACCATTTTAGCCCATACTTGCTTCCGCCTGTAGCTATCGACCAGCGACTGGTCGCCTTAATTGGCCGTGGGATCGGTGGATGTTCCGTTTTTTCCTTTTTACGCCCTCCTTCTCAATTTTCCCACTTAGAACTTCTAGTCGGCTGAAAGCCCGGTCTTTCCTCTTTCTAACTATGTATCAACCGTTCTGATCCATTACGTTATCTCTGAGTTATGGACCGGCGCTTAATTGGACGCGGCGGTTTTTGCCGTTTTATATGGGAAAAATCCATTCAATTGCATGTTACCCCTCTACTGCACTGGCCGATCCATCCCAATTTTTTCCCTAAACGAGTTCCCAGTTTTCTCTTCCCCTCATCCAAGTTTCAGCTTCATCCGACTTTTTTGAAGGGCTTTTTCGGGACCAGCGCCGTCACTTCTGGGGCCGTCGTGGCATTGCAAATTTTTTCCTGTGTCGATTTCTGCCCAAATTTTCATGCGCAATTTTTCGTACTGTAAAAGAAAGAAGAAAGAACTGTAAGCAGCGCAACAACATTAAATTACAGAAAATCCAGGAAGCCGACATTTATTTTCGCTATTTTTTTGGATATTGACCTAAAAAGCCACAAAAAATTCTTGCCGCTAACGCGGCGCTGGTCCTAACCCCTGTCAGCCAACCCCCGGCGCTGGTCCATTTGGCCATCTGAAAATTCTTTCGCACACTGGGGGGGGTCTTGTGCTCCTAGCAAAAAGATAGCTAACATCCGAAGAGATCGGAGAGATTTCGCCCCAGCCAAAATAAACCGAGGACCGTTACAAGGATCTACTAGCGTTTGCCGAACCCATTTGCAAAAATCATTACGCTGAAATTTAACTATGGCAAAACTTTAATTTCATCGAAAAATCGGTAGGTTCTTCGAGCTTTCCGTGGCATCTGTCAAATTATGACGTGACAAATTTCCGTATAATATCAAAAGCCCCACTAAAGAGTAGTAAAAGCAGGAGCTTGCTGAAAAGAGTATGGGGCGCTTCAAGCCCCATCCATGTCATAAGACATCCTGAATCGGAGGTCGATTCGGGGGCCCCCGGAAGATTGATGCCGTGAAGGGGAGGGGCAGGCGAGTCGGATAAGACTAGTGCCGGGGATGCGCGAAAAGCAAACGAGTCGTCACTGGAATGGTAACGGGATCTTAGATCGAAAAAGTTCAGCCGAGAAAAATTTGATTTATTGCCAAAAATCGATCAAAATTATAAAAAATGTAAAAATTTCTAAAGTTGTATGCCTTTTCAGACAATAACAAATACCAAAAACGCAGATATATACCCCATTAATAGTCCAGTACCAAAGATTGTATGAATCGGACTGAAAACTAGTTTGGTTTGTTTCGAATCCTGGTAGGACCGAAAACAAAAAACAAGCAACGACACTGCCGACCCAAGAAACTCCCGAAATTGGCCAAAGACCACTCATCGCTTCGCGTAAGCAGCAGCTGGCGTGCCCAAGTTTCTAATAAGCCTCCTCGCGGGGGCGCCCCTTGATTTTGAATGGGAGGGGCCAAGCGTTGGGCCCTAAGCCCATCGTGGATTAGTGCTTCCCATTTAGGGGGGTTCGGCCGCAGCTGACAGGAGGGAATCTTACAAGGGTAGAAATGGGGAAATCTCGAAGATTCGTGTAATACGAATCATGAGCGCCTTTTGGAATATCGTGTTAGTCGCCGCAGGCAACACGACATGCCCTATAAATTTCCAATTCATATGCAAATGTGCCGAGTGGGGAGGCTAGTGGCAGCCGGGTGGGTCGGAGAATAGGGGATATCAAGCAGGAGGCCTAGGATAGCCAACGCGAATTAGGCAAATAAAAAAGGGAAGAGTTCGATGTAGCAAAAATTATCAATTCTCTCGAACTAAACTAATGAATGAAAGGCGGCCAAGATCATAAAATGTAGACAGCGATGAATAACGGTTCGAAAAAGATTGATAGTTTTTTTTCATAAATTAGCAACATTTCAAGTAGAAAAATGAGTTATAATTGCCATGAAATATTTAAATTTAGAAGTGTTGATAAAACCTATATATTTCCATTATAAAGTTCGGAGTTTCACGTTTAGAGATAGTGAGAAACCACATAAAACCCCACAACTTCTATAAGAAAAATTGGATCCCAAAGTGAAAAGCTTATTTCTACCCCCTGGAACTAGTAAAGCACCAACAAAATGCGATACATTGCTCAATACCCCGCCGGAAGTGGGTGGGGGCCCTGGCCGTCGTCGGGCCGGGTTAATTTGTGCAAAAGTATATGACAGCTGGCGCACCCTCGATCCAAGGAAATGTCAATGGTTTTTCTGCAGGCATACGGCAGCCGGGGTGTGAATAGACAAGTGTGGGGCTGGTGGGTGGTAGCCGCGAGGTTGGGCCCAAATGTTCAAGGAGGAGGAGGAGGAGAGGCCTTGGGTCCCAGGGATGGGGCCCATACGAGGGAGAGGGATGCACCCTCACCACCATCCCTACGCGCCAATAATTGGATTCGACGCTCGTCGAGGGAGAGGCAGAAAGATGCGAAAGAGACATGCAGAAAGAGGCTGATAAAAATGGTTAGTTGGGTAGGAGGGGGACGGAATCTTTCACATATCTTAAGATTTTCTAGTAACACGATAAAAAGTAATTTAATAGTGCCCTTAGTAAAACGAAGCTATATTTCAAAAGGAAAATAGTTTTAGAAGTTTAAATTATTCATTTTTTGGAATTTTGAGCGACAAACGTATTTTTTTCGTATTTTGCCCAAAAATTGTTACGTTTAACAGTAACAAAAAAGTACAGACTTGCTTTAAATATATAGAAAGATTTAATCCTACGCAAAAAAAATGTGGTAGCCCAGAGAGCGAAAGAACCAAGTAGTAGCAAGAGCTGCAAATAATCAGAAAACCAGAGAAAAGACTACAGGTGAGGAGCAAGAGTAATTTACGGCGGCAAATAATCGACATACCCGATTCCGAACCGAGCCACACCGAAATTCGCACAACAATTAATACCTGAACTGTGTCGGTGTGATGTTTCCCTCCTTCGTCGGTGTTCCAAAGTCGAGCTGCATCTCGGGCTGGCTCTTGTAGGAGCCACGCAGCTCTTCTATGGTGCGTGGCTTCGAGTAAGTAGTCGAATATTGGTGAGTAGGACCTGAAAGAAGTGCGAATGGTTATCAACGTCAATTCCGGAAATCATTTTCTAAGTAGTTAAAGTTCTATAAGGGCCCAACTGGGTAAATTCTTGCATGCCCCTTCCTTATCTACCCCCCGAAAATCGCACGTACTGTTGCCCGCTCCTATCTAATCAATTAAAAGTGTTAGGTAGCGGTATAGATAAAAACAAATGGTGAAAAAAGAAGACGCGAGGCCAAAGAAAACTTTTAATATATTCTCCTATCATTAAACAAAAAGCAAAGATTACATTCGTAGCAATTCTAGACTCAACTAGTTCTAAAAGCCGGTGACTAATTCAAAGATGGAAAGAGCACTTCCTAGACGACCGAAAAATCAGAACTCGAAGAAGTAATAATACGTTGTAAAATCGACTAGGGCGAATGCGCACACTTCGAAAACATTTTCCACCCAAAAACGGGGGATTGTGTCGCACAGCGTAGGCCGGGGGCCGCTAATTCGCACGGCGGCGCGAGCCGAGCACCCCCTAAACAGGCTGCGCGCATGCTGCTGCGGCTAGCACAAAAGATTTCCGGTGCCGATTATGCATTGCAGCCAGCATATCGTGGAAAAAAGAGGCTTCCGTGTGCAATTCCTGTCATTCGCCTAAAGGTAATGGTTTCAGATTGTAGGAGAGGCTCAATAGTAAAAGAGCGCGCTTGTCAAAAGCTTCCAGGCTACTTGATTAAATAGGGCGGGGTACCACTCTAAATTCTCCAAATTAGTGCTGGGCTGATAAAGAAAGCCAATAGTTCTCCATAAAAATAAATAGAAAGTTCTCAAAACATCCTACAAATTTCGAAAAGGACAACAAAACAAAAAAAACCAAAAAAATTTTTTTATGACTTTCGTGCCATCATAACCCCCGAAAACACTACACAAAGCAATTTTTTCCGAGTAGCTAAAGGCTAGCGCATATTTCGACCATAATCGAAAGCGAAAAGGAAGCCCGCAATCACTGCCATACGCAAACGATTTGGCTCTAATGCAAAAAGTATCTATAAAAACGGGCACTCTCAAACGACTAGGACGGAAACGTATACCGCCCGCAAGAGTCAATAGCAATATCGAGAGCCCGTAAAAGTCCGTAAAAGGGAACGGGGCCGAGGGAACGGGAGGGGAAGAAGTTGAACTGTTTACATAGGGCTCGATGGACAGGCGCGCCGCGCCGATCCCGAGCGCCGCCTATAAGTCTACCGGTTCGCCAGAAGAGGGATAATTTTGATAAAGCAACACGCTGGCCAAAAGTCGCGAAGCTGATCAAAAATAGTTACCTCACTGGGCCTAATCAGATTGTGCTCAAAATTGAGACAGACAGGAACCATTCTCGTTTTGACCAAATTTAAAGTGAAGCCAAGAGATAGATAGATAGATAGATAGATAGATAGAAGAGAGAGAGAGAAGAGAGAAGAGATGGAAAGCTTCCAAAGGCCAAATCTCAAAAATTGTAGCGGTGAACTTGTAATCCCGCACACACAAAAATTTTCAGATACAAAAAAAAAGACTCGGCGCTATATCCATTCCTATTTTGAGCCTGACTTCAGTGCATGGCTAGTTGATCTGCTTCTCCATAGTAAGTCAAATTTCTCACCCATGGCTTGCAGGTCGTGGCCGGAGAGAGACTGGCGGAACTTCGGTCTACGCTCTGCGACAGTCATCGAGTAGTCACGGTGTATGGCGCCTCGGCCGGCCGGCGGTGTGCTGTATTCGATCATCGAACTCTGAAAAAAAACAATACAGGAGAAAATTAAAAATTGCCTTTCAGGCGTAAGTTTTTCACCCCAATGAATTATCGGTGCTAAAGACGATTGGAACATTTGTTCATCGGTTTCGACGTGAAAAATTGGTTTTTGGGAGGGGACCGTAAAGCTAAACCAAGCTAAAACCAACTACAAAAACTGCCAAAAAGCTTGGAAGAAGCCTCTCCACTTAAAAAATTTCTCGTTTAAGGCGCACTTAGCACTAATCTATTCACGACAAGTGTCCCGTCTCCTTGAGGGGACAAAGAAAACGGAAGACTCCCAAGCTTTTCTACCATAAACTGACTCAAGGGTTTTCTCGGCAACCAGAAACAATTGGAAAATCCTCACCGAAATTCCGGACGTCTCCAAGAAGTCCCTCGGGTCGAATTCCGAGGTGCCGCTTCCGGTAGATGGTTTCGGGAAGACGCGGGACATCCGTTGGGCCGATGAGCCTTCGAAGCCGGCCTCGAGCGCATCCTTCTTCAGGGCCCGATCCTTGCGCAAGCGCACTGAAAAGAATAAATATATACAGTAATTTAGTTTTTCGTAGTTCATCTTCCCTCATACATATTCCTACTACTACTACTACTACTACTACTACTACTACTACTACTACTACTTACAAGCATCAAACAAGCTATCAATGAAAAGTAATAGTCTGCAAAGAATTCGCCAGCAGAGGATCGTCAAGAATAAAAGCAGACTGGCGAGAAGGTTCATGCTTCTTCACTTAGAAAGCTTAGGCTGAGGCTTCAAATAAAGAGATAGTTGAAACGGCATCAAAGGGCCGGCAGGACATGAATCAACATGGCATAAAACCGCGGAAATAACCGGGCCCTATTTGCCAAAGGGCAATCACTCATGAAACAAAAAGTTGCGAAGACATACGCTCCAGGTTCCAATAGAAAAGCGTTTGGAGCGAGTCTTGAAAATAGAGGTGGAAGGACATCGCTTTGATTCTGGGATTACTAATGCTGGGGACGAATGGACATGGGCGAGAATTATGCCCAACTAGGCCAGCTGATCCAATGGCACCGTTACAGCCCCGAGGTCACGAAACCAAAAATTGATCGACTGATGGGATCAGGAAGGTCGAGGGAGTTACATTAATATTCTAGAGGTAAAAGCATTACACATCGTTAAAGAAGACTATTATTGTTCGGCAGGGTTTAAAAAGATGGGGGATTGCTCGAAAATTCAAACTGCATCGGGTGAGCACAAACAACCGCAAAGATGCCCCAAAACGACGCCTGGTGAAAGGAAAAGCCGGTGTTGCAGCGGTCACATGCAGGTGAGGTTAGGAGAATATCGTGCAAGCATCCAAATAAACAAAAAACCAACTGGATCCACCCATCGACAGCCTGCTGAAGAAGCGCTTGATGCCGTTTTCCTTCTTTTCGGTCCCTTCCAACATCCGCTTCGCCGTCGACGCGGAAGAGATGCGGCGAGGGCCGCGAGCCGATGGAGTCCGGTTCATAGCCAAGTACGAATCTAAAGAGTGGGTGAGTGCAAGGGTGGTGCATTAGAGAACAGTGAAAGTTGTGAAAAAACCCGGACATGCGATCGAAGTAAATGGTTAGTGGATCAGTCCAACAGAAGATCAAGAAATAACCAATTAGTGAAAAGGGACTAACAAAAACTAAAATTGAAAAGCCGCAGCACGGCTTCAGCGAAAAATCAAGTTTGCTGATGTTTTCAAACATTCGAAAGAGTCTAGAATTATGAAAAAAGCGTAGAAACGGGGCACGCGATCCGGAAATACGGCAATATCAAAAATCATAAGTGGCATAAAATTGGAGAAAACGTTCTTGGGCTAAAAAAAGGCCACCGATGGCGATTCCGAAGAACACCGCTGGACGTGGATACGGTATATGGTTCGCAACTCGGTTAGTAAAGCGCCAGCGGGCGCGCCAACTTCGGTGCTATTAGCGGACGCGCAGGCGCGCCATTAGCGCTTTTGGCAAAAGCGCCCGTTGGCGCGCTCATTTGTCGGATTGCGCTCATAAAGCGCTCATTTCTTTCAGCTGTTCGTACTGGGGTTTTAATAAAATAGTTTTTAATATGAGTAGGGGTGTATTAGCATCGCTTTTGCGATGTAGTACACGAGAAGAGGTGCATCCGACGTGTATGCCCAAAAGTTGTCGATCTGCGCACCTAAATAGCTTGTTTAGAAGCATAATCTTTGCAAAAACCTGTTTTGTTTTTGCTTCCATAGCGCCAGCGCAACGTATTTGATCTAAAAGCTAGTTAACGTACCTTTTTACTCATCTGGTCGCCCGCTACGCGCGTTTTTCTAAGCGGTTAGAAACTGATACAAGTTAACCTAAATGTTTCTTATTCACGGAGACTTACTCTTACTTAATCATGTAGGCGCGCGCAGTTTCCAACTTCAATGTCGCCTGAAAATTTAGCTTTATAGAATAGATGGTCAAAACCTGCAATGACTTGGTCACATAAAATCAAACTTACCAAGCTGTAAAAAACTTTGTACCTGGTTCCTTGGGAATTGCAATAATTAGCAGGTCGCTAACGTTTCAACCGTTACTTTTAACAAAACAACCGTGATCATAAATTGTGTTTAATAAAATCTACTTAAATTGAATAATTCGAAGTTGTTTCATAATTCTAGGGACTTAGTGAAATTTTTGAACCGTTGAAAGGTGTTCAAGAAATTCAAATGCGCCAATGGGCGCTTCCTTTTCACCGCAATTGCGCCACTTCGCGCTTTTTTTTGTATAATTTCGCGCGTCTGCGCTAGTGGCGCTTCCCTTCCCGATAAGCGCCATTGGCGCTCCCACTCTCCGTATTGGCGCGCCCGCTAGCGCATTGATGAAGTTGGCGCGCCCGCTGGCGCTTTATTAACCGAGAAGATTAAACGCAATCGGATGGTGGTGGTTTAGTAGTCCATCGGAATTTTTTTTGGAAATAATTTGCTTTCCTTTTTGTTGTTTTCTAAAAATCTTTTTTTTCCTGTTTTCTCGACGATAAACTTTTCCGCCGAATCGGAATCAGGTCGTTTAGCTTTTTTGGAACCTGGCGTAAAACTTTATTAAAAAATGCCAAAACTATCGAATTTTCCACCTAAACGTGCGGATTTTGACGCAAATTTCGACTTTCCAAGCGTTTTTGGATAGTTTTCTATATGAAATATAATTGTATTTTACCAAAAACACTCTTAAAAGACTTCTTGTTAAGCTACTAGCCCAAAATATCGATTTTTCGACCAAAAATGGCCAGATTTTTGACCAAAACTTTGACTTTTGAAAGCTTTTCCAAGGTTTTTAGATAGGCTTTAGTTGAAGTACAGTTTTATTGTACTAAAAACACTATTAAACCATCTCGTGAGTTACTATACAGTGTAGACTTATGGAAAAAGTGCCGGAGAATGATTTTCAAGAAAAATCCAGGTGTTTCTTTCCGGTCCCCCCTTTTTTTTGCATGCCGATCCCTTTTTGGGTGTTCCTTTCTGGTCGTATCATGGTGGATGGGTGGGTATCGGGCCGGGGGTAAGTGGTGCATGTGTGCGTATCCGATCTGATATCCGCTCGGCCCTTGGGGGGTGGACACAGATTTATGGGTGAGGATGGATTGAGATCATCCATCCCATGGGGGCGCGTGCTCTCAAACAGGGCCCCGGGGCGGATAGGCCGCAGATTCGGGTTACATAATCATCTTGACGGGCTCGTTGGGTGCGTCTTTTTTCGGGGCTCTGATCGGTGAAAGCGGATGTGGACTGTACGGTACTGGACTGTTAGCAGGGGGAAAACTAAATTTTGTTATTTTCGTCTATACCTACTTCCTAAAAATAATGTACTTTTATAATGTTTTTTTTTCGCATGATTGCGCGAAGGTGTGTGAGTCAAATTAAAATATTTCAGGTAACTAGAAAACGCTATACAACGCTTCAAAAAGGTTTAAATTTTGAATTTTTGCCGAAAAACCGAGATTTATGCTTTTTGTGGAAAAAATTAGCAAGGTTTTTGGGTTTTGGAATAGTAAAAACCGGTTTAGAAGAAAGCTTGGATATTTGGGCTATGAAACGTTTCCGCCGAGTGAATGTTCATATCTTTTTGAATAGTTTCAAGGCGTAAGCATTGTGGAAATCCATCGGTAAAAACAAGGAATTACACGGTTTTGTCCCTTTTTCATCAAGTTTTGTTCAGAAACATTGCGCTTTTAGACAGTTTTAAGCAGTTTCTGATGTGCTTCTACAATTTCGACAGCGAAAACCCCTAAAACTTCCATAATGGCGTTTTTAGTAAAATATGACTTTATTGCAACGGGAAAAACCATCTAAAATTGTTCGAGATTTGGTCAAAAATCGGCCATTTTTGGTTGAAAAATTGATACTTTTGATGGTTTTTTATACAAATTTGTAAAGTTTTAACGTTTACGAATAGGAAAAAACCGTTTAGAAGGACTTCCTATTTTCGGGTCAGCCCCCCAGATATGACCCGCCTCGTGCCAGCGATATTTGTTTGGGAACGGTGGCCACGGGGGGGGGGCTGTTGTGGGCCCTTTGTTAGGCGATTGTTGTATGGGTAGGCCGATGTGCTCATCCATCCAAATATGCATCCCCTGTCCCCGTCCACTAACACGTCGATGAATACGATTCCAACCCGGGGGGAATGGCCCGAAAAATGGGGGCCAGGGTTGGTGACTTTATGGCAGTTTAGCACGCGTTTTTTGCGGGGCATAGGGTTTGACCCGACGGGTAGGCCAGAAGGGTACTGGAGCGTTAGCAGGGGGGTGAAACTAATTTTTCCCCAGTGGTCTTGCACGGTCCTATAACAAAATATAGCCCATATTTATAGCCCGTTATAAACTTTTTTAGATATAAAAAGCTGCTAAAAACCTAGGAAAATTCGAAAATTTTGGGCTTTTTCGTCGAAAATGTATGAAAATGATCGAAAAATGCCAAAATTTTAGAACATTTAAATAGTTTTGTAACTTTCTCGGGATCAAAAACTCCGAAAACATTATGAAGATACACTATTTCTTATTAACAGGTAAGTAGAGGAAAAACAAACCAAATCCCCCCCCCGCTAACAGTCCAGTACCGTCAGAAGGATGGTCTTACAGTAGAAGACCGAGCAGACTTTAAAAAATATGTTTCTTCGCAGGAGTATTGTTCGACCTTACGAATTTTCGGGATTCCTTCGTTTTTGCTACTCGATCAGTCATTTCGAAAACACTAGATTTCCGCGTCTAAAAGATCTAATTAAAATAGATTTTTATACTTAACAGTTGTTAAGCGCGGCTAAAATTGTCTAAAATTATTTAAGGCTCGTTTTCACGGCACGATCCCTAGCTTCCGGTTCGGCCGGATAATTTGGCTAAGCGCCGTCTCATGCCAGGTGCACTCCCAGGAAATGGGCATTTGTCGGGGGGGCAGGGGAGGGGCCAAACGATCGGATCGGATCGCCCCGCGGGGTCGGCTTGGGTTTCAGGGTGTCGCGCTCTATTTCCAGCTGCCTCGAAATTCATGTGCTCACCGGTTTGAAATGGGATTGACCGGTCATTTCCGGAATTTCTGGAGGTAAAATAGGTGCATTTTGGATAAAAATGGTTAATGGTGTTCGACGATTCGGTTTTTTGGCATTATCGGGGGGGGGGGGGCTTTTTGTGGAAGTCTAGAAATGTCTAGTAGCTTAAGAGGAACTGTTTTAATAGCTTTTTTAGTAAAATATAACTAGATTTAAACTAGAAAAAATCTAGAAACTTTTAAAAAATACTGAAAACGTCAAAATTTTGCTAAGAAATCGGCCAGTTTCCGTCGAAATCGATATTTTCAGCTTTTTAATCGCAATTTGTAGCGTTTTCACGTTTAGGACTAAAAAGAAGCCGTTCAGAAACACTTTCACTATTTATATTTAAAAATTCGATCCTAATAAAAAAGTTAATACTTTGTTAGTAAGTCGATAATTAAAAATTTCCGTCACTCGACTTTTTATTATAAAAAAATAAGCCTATTTGAGGGATGCTGGCACATAACCTTAGATTAATCACACTGGATCAGGAAATAATCAAAATACCAAGCTTGTGCAAGAACTAAGGTTTTTTAGGCGTTAGGATTCACACAAATTTGTCTCGGAAGTAGCCCTGTAAATCCGTGAAAGTATACCCCCGAAACAGCTTTTTTTTACAAGCTTGAAGTGTGTTTAATATTTTTTACGTCCGTTAAAATCTGGGCTAATTATGATTTTAAGTCTCGGAATCAGGGATTCAGATATGCGGATATGACCCTTGCTGACCCTTTGCTAGTGATGTCCAGGTGGATAGGTTAGGAAGGGTGGGAATGGAGGGGGGATAGAGACAAACACTTGGCCCTTCCGCTCCACTCCTATACACACC